GGTTTTGTTTTTGTTTTTTTTTAAACTACTAGCAAGAATCTTCACACTGTGGAGATCGCTAAAGGCAATTTCTAGAGTGTGCCCTTGGGATTATATGTGCAGTGTACAACCTCAGACAAGGTCCTCAAGCCAACCAAAGAAGTCAACCACATAATGCGAGGAAATTAGATAGCTAAGAAACATTTTTTCCTGCATGAATTACAACTGAAAGTCTCAGTGCATCTACTTGCTTGTATCAAATGAATCCTTAATATTTGCCTAGCAGTTGCCATGTGTGAGCTGCTTACTGGAACCTTTGTGATGGCATCGTATTTCCAAGAATTAAGACAAATACTAAAGTATTTGTAGAGAAAAAGAATCAGCAGAGAGCAGAAAAGGATTTCACCTTCACACACATGCATTTTTTTGGTATTTTTCATGTCTTTGATTGTTTTTGCTTTTGTTAAAGCAAGGAAAGAATACAGAGCAGAAGCTGATGGGAGGAAGAAATGCTGACTAAACAAATGGCTCAATCTGAACCGAATTCATTGGCACAAGTTAAAGAGAGGTACAAACAGAACCAAGAATGGTTCCAAAAATGTGCTCTCTGGGGAAGCAGAAAATCCACTTCTGTTCTCAGTTCTGCTGCTGTAAATCCACAGTAACTCCGAGCATGTGATATGTGCTGTTCTGGACATAGAACAGTGTAACGTGGGCACATGTGGCTCATGTTGCCCTGATACTTGGGCGCATTATAGCCATGTGTGCATTCAGAAGGTGAGATTCTTTCTTCCTTCGCAGAAAAAAAAGAAAAGATCAACAAGAGCGACTACCTTCTACATAACTTAGAAAAGCAGCACACTTCTCACAGCAGAGACAGGTCTTCTCCAGAAGAGCGAAGCAAATTTGTCAGACTTTTCAGTGACATAGTGCTATACATACTAACTTTTTTTTTTTTTGAGAAACCAAATATTTGTATGTTAACTGCTATAAACAATTGATGACTACGCACAGAGCTATTTCAGTAAAAAGATCAATATGGGAGACTGCAAAAAGTAATCTGCTTACAGGGCTCATAATTCATATATGAAAGTAACATATTCATAAGCATCCTAGATCGTGTGCCTCAGAGATGTTATAAACACAAACATCTATTGAGTTAGACCTAATAAAAAATTTAGATTTTCATTATGAAGCCCACATATGACAGACAGCAATATACTGATGCTGGCAATGAAAAGGCAGATATTAAAATGCATGTAAGGTAAGCTTCCCCTCAAAAAAGACATAAAAGCCTAAGCAACAACAAAGCAAGAGTTTCTGGCATTATGCATACAACAACATTTCTGTGCTTTCCCCACCATTTCCTCGCAAACTCCCTCAGCCAGATTACTCTGCAGCCCTGGCAACCCATTTATACTCAGCTGGTTGTTCACCATCATTATCTGTACCACATTCTGCCCTCATGGATGACCTTAAACTGCAATCCTGGAAAATACCTTGCTCACCAACCCAAAGTGTCACTTGCTATAATTAGCATTCTGGGAGCTCACAACACAGCCATTAAGGCACTGAGAAAGACACATGTCCTGCCTTAGTTCAGTGTACATCAAATGATCAGTCAGATGACCATTAAAGCAGTGAGGTCTTTATTCAGGTGGTCAACTCGCCCGCCTCAACCCATAACCTGTCTACAAGGTTCTCCTTAGAGACATGGATAATCATGCTCTTTCATGTTACCTTCCTCGCTATGAAATGCAATGCTTCCAAATCTCCCTTCCTATTCCCAGGATAGCCTGCAATGAGAAAAATCTGACTTTGACTAGAACAACAGTCTCAAAATCAGGCTGTCATTCAGCAGCAACTGCTTTTGCTGAGCACACACAACTTCACAGTAAGGACACTGCCTACTGTGACTTCTCCCCTCACCGAGGACATGGAATAGCATAAGAATGTTTCATCTCCATTCCAAAATTTTAATATTTTAACCTATTAAAATCTTATCAACATCATCTTGTTTCAATATGGATGGCTAGCTGATTTAATACACTGAAGAAATACTAAAACCTCTAGTGCAAAGCTTTATGTAAAAATACTTTGTAACATATATTAAAGAGCTTGGTGCTAAAGTGATGCTGAGAACCATTTAACACTATCAAATTTCATTCACATAAGTCCCCCCCTCATCAAAACAAAGCCATCAGAATGCTGTCTAATTCCTAATTTCTGTTAAATGTATAAAAATTCATTAGGATTTCATGTATTGTGTCAGGCAAAATAGCAAATACTCCTTCTGATGATAACATTTATTTTCAGGACCATTTTGTGTACGTAAAACAGTCTATTCCAACAAATAAATTCCCTCTGGTTAAAACTGAGAAAAAAACCCCACTTTTAACTACTTGAGCAAATCAAAGCCATTAAGATCTCAGGACACATCTTCTGAGGACTATGACCCCTACACAGCACAGAACGGATTCAGCGGCCATATTTGTCCTTTCCCATGACAAATGGCTATTGTATCTGTCTCCAGCTATACAAAAATAGATGTTTACCATCAGATGGCAAGTGTTAAGAGCATTCTGATGCAGGGGTGGGGGGGTGGGGTTTTCTTCCAAAACCTTTTTTTAAAAACTTACTTCTCCATGGGCTATTATCTACAGGATTTTGGTAGACTAACTAGCGCCCGAAATCCAGAGCAAGTTATCATTCATTTGGCAAAATAATCCCTCAAGGGAAAATCTGAGGTAAAACGCACAAAATAGCATGAATGACAAAAGTATCTAATTCCCAAAGCCAAAATATATCCCTTCTAGTGTTTTTGAAACATAAAATTAACAATTTTGTTAAATGTGAAAGAACATAATCTTGGACTAGACTCCACTGACAGAAGGTATTTATGCTAGAGACATATTAATCTGATAGTGACTTTGATATTTAACTTGCTTTCAGTTGTGGGTTTTTTTCAGTTTCAGAGGAGTCAGTGGCTATCCAGCTTACTGTCAAACCATTACTTTAAGGACAGCAACTGCCAATTAAAGTGTGGCAAATCCATTAACAGTTTAGCAGACAACTGAAGAAAATTCAGGCTTGTGTGCAACCCTGAGTTCAGTGTGCCCAACCAAACCAATAAGATTCTTCCCAGGATCACAGTGATGCAGAAGTGCCTCAGTTTCTAAAAACAAATAAACAAACTCACAAAATCAAAACTTGGTGATAGTGTTGTCTTCGCTCTCCCTGACTGGAAAATGGGTGAGATGATAGTCTTTGCTTCTTTTGCTTTTAGTATTACTTCTACACTATATATTCTTGTCCTGCCATCTTTATACCAACAAATAAATGTGTTTTACAAACGTGTATCAGATGGTAGTTAGTATTTTTTAGTAATTTTCACTGAGGCACAGTAAGCTTATTGTGAATGTGCATCTATTAAAAAGGTAATAACAAAATGACTATTTAATGCTACTTTTTAATAACAATAATACTACCAATTATTAACCAGTGATATGTAAAACAGTGACAGTAATGGAGGCTGAAGTTATTCAGAGCCACTTCACAAGTGACAATTTGGGAAATGCCTGAGTAGGCACTGAAGAATTCCTGAGCAGTAATTCTGTTGAAAGAAAACTGGTGGGAACAGAGGTGAAGAACATGAAACAAAAAGGAGAGGCTTTGCAGAAGTCAGTTACATGTGAAATGAACACACGTATTAAAATACAACTATTATACATTGTGTAGATATCTAGGGTGTTCCACCTGCTCCCACTGTGGGAAATATTTTCAAACTATAATATGTCACTGTTAACATGGCATTTTTAGAATATTCTTAAATGATTAGTTTTGCCATAACATGAGGAAACAACACTGACAGAAAGCATCTACTGTAACTACAATATCAACATGATGTCTACACTCAGTTTAGAAGATCGGTTGTTTTTCTTTGTAACAAATTGAGAAGTAATGCAAGGAGTAACTTACAAAAGTAAGATAACCATAACAGTTGGTGTGCAATTTAACTCCTAATTTAAATCAGCTGACTGTCACAAATAACTCCCCGAACTGCTTATGAAATGGGCCGACATGGAAAGGAAGAGGAAAAACAAAATGGTCAACAACCAACAGCCTAAAGGCCTTAAATATGTTGAAGATCTTCCGGCTTAAGTAAGGGGAAACTCATTTCAGGATCTAAGAGCTGTCCAAGGCATTAAATCTTTCATAGAGATTAATCCTAATTGTCTCCTTAGCATCAACCGATCTTACATTCCTAAGCAATCCTATCCAATCAGCAGCTTGTTTCTTTTTTGTTAGAGCTATGTTTGAGAAATCAAATTTCAAGCTGTCAGCACAGATAGCCATTTATTCTGCACCTACACTGAAGCCTGTGGGAAGGGAAGGTTGGAAAACTAACTGAAATGAATGAAAGTCTGCCTCTCAAATGCACTTCTGATTTTTAGGGGAAAGAAAAAGAGTTATAGTATTGTAATTGTTCTGCCTGTTCTCCTTTTTTGATTTTGCCAACTCCCCAACATTATTTTGCACTCCCTTTTTTTTTCAGCACAATAAAACTCAAACTAAAAAAAAAAAGCTAATATTTTCCACTGGAATTTTACATAGCTATTTAATCTACCTTATCCTCAAGAAATTTTACTTATGAAAAAAAAAGAAAGCAGATATCAATGCAGAATATCAACAACTACTCTTAAAAACATTTTATGGTATCCAACCAATGTGTTTTAGCAAACACACCTAAAGTTGTGTCAAAAAAACTGAAATCAAATCGCAATGCTACAGCAAACAGTGTGGCACAGACCTCTCTGCAGAAGTCCTTCAGATTAAAAGGTAGAGCATTCCTGACAATCTGTGATGCAGAATACACACCAATCAACAGGCAAATTATCAAGGACCTGGAAGCTCCATTCCATTAAATATTTAGGTCCCCTGTATCTAAAACTGAAGAGGCAAAACAAGAGAGAAAAATAGAAAGACAGACGGAAACAACTAAACAAACAGAACAACCTTACCTTTCACAAGCTCGGACAGTCCATGCAGCAATTATCCATAATGAGATACTAAAAACCAACAGTACGGTTCCTGGACATATTGTCATTAAAGTCTTCATAACAAAACGGGTATTGAAGTTTATCTTATTTAACGCTCCAATGCTTCTAGATGATGCATCAGTGAAAAGTTTGCTATGCAAAAGCATAACTCTGGCAATAAGATACAACCTTAAGAACATTGGTATAGATAAAATAATATCCACATCAGCTGTTGTTGTGGATGGAGTGTAAGAAAAGGCAAGCCGGGCTGTCCATATAAATGTATAGTTCCCAGGTATGGGATGTATAGCACACACCAGTATTTCCAAGCAGATAAAGAAAATACGCTCATAAGTCATGGCTATTCTCCAGTCATCTGCTCCATTGTCCACCATGAACAACTGAAATAATAAAATATAAGGATAACTTTAGTACGTCATTAACAAATGTTGTTATAATTCCATTTTAAAATACCATAGTTTTCAGAGCTGCCAATGACCACTAAAAAGAAAATTACATTACTACATCACTTATGAAGTGAAACATAACAAAAAGAATTTTTTTCATGCACTATTTTTAAAACTGTACATGAAACTGAATTTTCCCATGTTATTCACTAAGAATTCCTCATATTTTCGTTAATTGTCATTTCTGATAAAACAAAACTCTGGACCAGTTAAGCCTTGTCGCTTCAAAATCACTTGCTTACTCAAAGTTCATAAAATTGAGAAAAATTTAATAAAGTGTTTTCAGAATGGACATCTAAATTACAAATTGAAAATATTTTCTAGGATGCAATGTTAAGCCTTCCCTACAGCATATCCATGCTTCATCCAGGGAGATAATACAGCTTCTATAGAACTATCCAAGCTTTCTTCAAGCTTCAGGAACCAATACAGATCAATGGAGGATGCAAGACCACGTAAGACACTGCAGAAAGACTCAAAAAGATACCTCATGGTGAAAATCTGAAAAGCAAAGGCTAGCAAATATCAGAGTAGCCCAGGCAGCCCGGTGATGTCTACCAGTAGCTGAAAATTAAATGCACATGTTGGTTCTTGCACAATCAAGGCCTTCAGTTTGCCACCCAGGAAAAATGGTACTGAAACATTTCACACTGTTTAGTAAATGATGTTCCTGATGATTTACTAAATAAATACTTAAGCAAACAGTATTTGTCACTAGTAGAGCGTAGTGGTATGCAAGAAGTTGCAAATAGACAACTTTTCAGTAAGGAACAAAACCCATAATGACAAAGAAGAGATACAATCTCAGTGGCAGGAGAAGACCTCATGCCCTCAACTATAGTTTGAATCTGAACAAGCCTGTTCAGTAAATAGGTAAGAGAAAATAAAAATACTTTTTCAGGATTTTTAAAATTAGAGTATTCAAAAATAATGAGTGAGAAGGAAAAGTACACAAAGAATGTGCTCCTTAATGTAAGAAAAGTATTTTCAGCATGCTACACACCATATATACCATGAAAAACCCAATTACTCATCTGCATTGCTCTTTGTCCCTTTCCATCTTTCAAGAGTTTAAAAATATAAGCCTGATTTCTCTTTATAAGTTTTTTGAGACTGAAAACACCCTCTGCATCCTCCTCCCAATACATTCAGTTTGTCTTTCAGAAAATTGTTCCAGTCATTTGTTTAGAAAAGTGATAACCACAAATTAACTTTATTGTAGCTGAACTGACACTAAAAGAAATTAAGAAGTTAACCATAGTAAGAGACAAAACAAAACAAATTTCTGTATTTGTGGACCTGTTTTTCATCCCTTTATGTTCATTCCCTCCATCTTACGGTCATGGGTGCCAGTCACAAGGTTTTGGTACTGGGAGGCTACAGGGGTGGTGTCTGTGAGAAGAGGTCAGGGTCTGCTCTGCAATGACCCACTGCAGGACATAGCTGACCTCATCAGTGGAGCTGGTGGTCTTTCTATGAAAGTGTATTTAAAAAAGGGCGAAATGCTGCCCAGGCAGTGAGGAGTAAGGGGAAAAAAAGTGTGAGAAACGACCCTGGAACTGCTAAGGCCAGAGAAGAAGGGGGAGAAGGTGCTCCAGGCACCTGGAGCACCAGATGCAGGAACAGAGATTTCTCTGCAGCCCACAGAGAGGACTATGGTGAAGGAAGCACTTCCCTGCAGTCCACAGAGGGGACCACAGTGGAGCAAATACACTGTAGCCCATGGAGGACCCCACGCCAGAGCAAGGTGGATATTTCCTGAAGGAACTGCCACCCACGGCGAGCCCACACTGGAGCAGATTCTCTTTACAAGAACTACTGCCCATGGAGGACCCATGCTGGAGCAGCTTTAGCCTGAAGGGCTGCAGACCATGGAGAAAACCCATACTGGAGCAGGGGAAAAGCATGAGGAGGAAGGAGAGGCACAGAGGAACTGTCGTGGACAGACTCCTATTCACCATATCACCTGCACCACTCATGGGAGAAAAGATAGAGGAGTTGGCACTGAAGGAGACATGTTGAGCCTCGGAAGAAGGGGGCAGGGCAAGGGGTTTTAGCTTTTGTCTTTGTTTCTCACCATCTTACTCTACTTTTAACTGGCAATAAATTAAATTTTCCTGAAGTTGAGCCTGGTTTGCCAGTGCCAACAATTGGTAAGGGAACTCCCCATCTTTACCTCAACTCACAAACTTTTTAATCTTATCTTCTCCCCTTGTCCTATTGAGGAGGGAGAGTGAGAGAGCAGCTGGGTGGGAGGGTCTGGCAGCTGGCCAAGGTCAAGCCACCACACTTACCTATAGTTCTTACCTCCACTGCAATACTATTAAAGACAAAGAAACACAGTGTTGAACTAAGCTAATGAAACACTCCATGAATTCAATGTATGCAAAATAAGCACATATACTTTCTTTTACCTGTGGACATGTTGCAGACTTCTCATACTAGATATGTGAATTGGTACTGGAAGGCCAATTTATGTATATATGTATGTATTACCAAAAGAGTGCTGCTTTGCATTTAGCAAATGTACTATTTGGTATTAAGGGCCAAACTTTCAAATTACAGTAAGGCTCAAGTGCATTTGATTCTTGTGATTAGCCTGTAAATGCTGTCAGTCAGATCACAGAAGTACTACATCAGGTATGAAGAGGTCCAGGCATTTAGAACACCCAGAATACAGATGAATAGTAACCAGCTTGACTGAAAAAGAGATAGATAATATCAAATATCTCAAAAGCCATGTGGTTTTCCAATGGAAAGAATAAATTAACAACAGAGTTAAATATTTCAATTGTCAGATGCATATCAAATACATGTCAAACTGGCAGTATTTTTAAAATTTCTTTTAAAGTTTCAAAATCTGCTGAAAAAAGCAATGGTGTTTTGTCCTCCCCTTTTACGTACCATCTTCACAGATTTCAAAAAGAATTCTATATGCAGAAAGGCAATTCAAGAAAAATGATACCTTAAGTACTGATTCAATTTAAAAGATGAGAATAGAAGAATGTTGAGTTAAACTTGGGCATTAAAATTTGATCATACAATTTTCCTAGAAGAAAATGTTATTTAATCATTGAGTTTTTTAAAACTTTAAGATGTGATTATGGAATACATACTTGTTAACATATTCACCTGTCAGCAGAAGAAATCCTAACTTGCTACAAAGAAAGAAGTTTCTCAGTACTGCTTAGTGGAATGGGTTATGTTTGCAGACAGAGAAGATCCCTATCAACTTCCCTTGACCTCAGCTGTGCCAGTTTCTTCTAAGGAAAATAATATTTTAAAGTAATAATATCTTCAGTTGCCATATAATGAGATTTAGGAGGTGAAAACATGGAAAGTGGAAAACACCATAAGCCACAAAGGACCACAGATCCAGTACAAACATTGCTATTGCATTAAAATATTAACATTTAAAACCCATAGTTATGAGTAAGATTTCCTTATAATTCTGTGTCTCTAAATTCAAACTATGATGGATACCACACACTCTGGAACAAATATGGGCGTCTAAAACAGGCTGTGAATAACAATTTAATTGGGACATACTGAAATGACACAGAAATTAGTACACGATTTCATGCACATTTTATATACTTGCCATGATGCAACCTACTAAATGCAAGTTTTGCTTTTAATTTGGAAGATACAGAGGTATTTGTGCACGCCTGCGTGCTTGGCTAGGTACATTTTCCTGTTTGGAAAGTGAGGAAGGTAAATGAATGAAGAAGAGAAAGAACAGCTGAACAGCACAATTTAAAGAGTATGTATACACCCTCTCAGCTGCTCTCAGTCAATGCTGTTACACTAACCATGCATTAATTTCAAGTTACTGGTCCCCATTTCAACAGAGCATGATGCTAGCAATAAAAGAAGAACATAGCAAAAGTGCGAGCAAACTCTTGCTATACAATCAAGTCCTGCACTCCACAGGGAAGGCCAAACTCCAGCCAAGGTCAAAGATGTTATGCCTGTTCATAGATTTCAAATTTCTTGTAATTATTCAGTGTTGAAGTATAATGCAAGTACTTCATTAGTCTTCTGCAAGGTTCTTCAAATACAGAACTAAGTCTGCACTGTGTAAGAAAAATTTTAAAGTCGTTTTCACCTAAAATTACATAATATATTTCCAGCATGTTATATGTAAATGTACAAGATAAATCAACCTTTAAATTCAAATCAACTTGATATTTGTAATGCCACACAGTAAAAACATGAAAATAAATATCATAACATATTTATATACATATGTGTATATTTACATAATGCTTTGCTAAATTCATGTAACACCAGATCAGAAAAAGACAAACATATGCAAAGTAGACAGATTGCACACAATGACAACTTCGATCACAGACTCCCTGAAGCAACTTAAAACAAAAGGAGAGAAGTTAATTTTGTAAATCATTAGTATATCAAAACGGATTCATAGCAGGCTATCAGAGGATGTTGGTGAATGCAAAGAACAAGGAAACTAGCCATTTTCTAAAAATGCCTTTACAATCCACGTAAAAGAACAAAACAGAAAACTCTATCACTACCTTGCTGTAATACTGTGGGGATACGTTAACACAGGACTAAAAAGGAAGCAGTGAACAGCGATAAAGTAGCACCAGCTGTAGTCCTGGAAGCTTTCCTTGCAGAAGGGGAATCAACTGTACTCACAAACATTGAAATTGTTTAATTTAAAATAGTTAAATGCTGGAGTGACTTAAACCTTATAAAAGAACTGATGTAACTATGATTCAGAGTAGCAAAATATAGCCCCTGGAGCTGCTGATTTACCAAAATTTTTGACCAGACATTTTTCAATAATTTGCAGTCCCCAAAATATCATTTATACAAACAAAAAGACCATTATGATAAGATACCGGTTTTGTTTCACTACGCCGAACAGCCAAGTTATTGTCCCACAGCAGCCCGTTAAGTACAAA